AGGAAGACCACCAAAGCAGGTTTATTGTCCACTGTGCTGATTATCTCGGCAATGTTGTTGCCTGTGCCGGTGTTCTCGGTGTAAGCAAAAATGTGAGGGTGTGGGCTGCCTACTTTCCACTTGAGTCTGCTGAGAGCCATTCTTTCTCCCGTCTTCGCTATGCAGCTGAGGAGGGAGATGGGTCTTGGTTTGTCTGGTTCTCTGGGCTTCGAAATGGGCTGTATATCTGCCTTCTTCCATTCTGGTGGAAGTCTCTGTGCTATCCACGAAGCATTGATGACTTGCAGCAAAGCCTCGTGCCCGGCTTCTCCGGCATGGGAAAGCATGGAATGGGTTATCCTGTCGGCCCCTGGTGCTGTGTCTTTGCTTCGTTTTATCAACTTCTGGAGTTCTTGCTGGTTGAAAGGTCTGTCGGTGTCATCTTCACTGTTGCAGGCCTCTTCGATCATCTGGAGTCTGACCTGTCGCAGACGCCGTTGTGTCTCCTCCGCATGTCTCGGGAGGTTTTTCGTCGCTTCTCGGTCGGAGAACAGTTTTGCAAGTCTCTCGGCTTCCTCTTCTGAGTTGGGATGGGTTGGTGGTGGTGGTGGTGTTACCTTCCCAGATGCCCTTCGGATCTGGGCCCACAGTTTACCGAGGGAGGTGTGCTCGTTCAGTTCGGAGCACCACTTGAGCCAGCTTACGCTTTTGATTTCTTCCTTCTCTTACCTGGTATCCTTGACTATATCTTGCAGGAGATGTCTGTTTGTGTCCGTGGAATGTCTTCTGTAGTTTCTTCGGGCCATGTTCACTCTGTGGTTGAGTTCTTTCACCCTAGGACAGCAGTAAAAGTAATCTTTGTACTGTCTTCTCTTGTGATAACATTTATCTGGCCATAAATATGACTTAAATAAGCTGTAACTTTTTTGTTTGAAGTCAGTGTAAAAAAAACTGTACTAGTGTAGTAGGTGCACCGATTTTCATTAAAATCCGCTGCTAGACCCCAAACGGAAAAGACCCCTTCTGCTTTTACTGTAAACTAATATAGTCATTTCTGTAGAACAAATAAATATTAAATGTTTTTAGTACAATATTAGAGCTAAGAGTTTGAGTGTGTTCCTACACCTCCTGAGGAAACCTGTCTCTCCAAATGGCCAACCTATATAACCTATAGCAAACCTATCCACCAATCATGTCGATCGTTAAACGACCAATGTCCCATGCATTGATAAATAATTATAATACGACTGCAACGTTGCCATTTAGAGATACTGTTTACCACAGGGGGTGTAGGAACTTTTTTGTACAAAATAATTAATTCATTTACTGCATCTATTGTTTAAATGTGATGCAGCAGTTTGGAGTCTTTCTGTCCAGCTGCAAAGTGACTAGTAACTGTGAGAAGTGAGAGGCAGTAGCCGATACACCAGAATTATGCAGGAAGAGACATCAATTGACAAACACTAGGCACCTGACAGATATTTAATTTGTAAATTGATGGTGAAAGATTTAAGATTTGTTTTGTTAATAGGTTCAAATCTACTTTTTGCTGAAATTTGTTTAAAGCTACCAACTTTCCAACAGGTTTGAATGGACCAATAAACAAATATAAATACTGTATTAAATTTTCATGAAGACTTTGTTTTGTGAATAATTAGAGGGATATCTACATTCTAACTTGGTTAACTGGGTTCATACTATATATCCTCATCCACTGTTTCTCTTAAATGGTCAGCTCTTTGGCTGGTAAATACAAATTCTATGACCATAATGTATTGTGCTCCAACCTGTTTTTTCTGTATATGCTTAATGCAAGTTATTTGGGTAATTGAAAACTTGTTTGTATCATTACTGTACTGTACTGTACTTTATTTTATCCTCTTTGCCATTGATTGGCCTGTTAGCCATTTGGGCAGTCAGTCACGTGTCTGTTACGCACTGTTGTCAGGTACTGTACAGGTATCCCTCACTTTACAAATATTCAATATACTGTACAAAAAATTTGCTTAAACGAATTTCTTAATTTAACACCTCTTTCTTATCTAACAAAAGTTACCTTTGCTTATACAAAATTTGGTCTGAACAAATATCCTGTATTCGAATCGTGCACCCCCAGGAGTCAGCCAAGGTAACAATCTTGGAGAGATGAGCAGAAAAGTATTCTCGCCCACTGATCATAACCCCCCCCTTCCCGTATCTCCCCCCGGCTCACGTTTATTGCTCTGCCATCCCCCACCTCGTGATGAGCCCCGACTGCCCTACCTTAAGGTAATTACTCCTGCCATTCAGCTCGTTTGTTTGAATTCACAGCGAAGGGCGATAGTGTGCTTATTTGTTACACTTAATATTGCTGGTAACACTGTTACCAAGTTAGACTTGTCACTTGCCACATCCCCCAGCTCTCTCCTTCCCAGGCCAAAGTATGAGCTGTTATGGTTATTTTTCAACTCCTAATTTTGAGTTGATATACGTAACTTACTTCACTTTTTTATTACGTTACATGCACACACAATCCTTCATACATACAGTATGTGCCAAAAAAAGGTAAAAGAAATAAATGTAAGGTCAAATCAAAGGAATAAATAATTCTTCATTTGCCAGCAAGAGTTACCAGGCTGAGCAGGGCAGCAGTGTGTGCTTCCCAGCTGGACTGCATTGCTCTTTGACAAGCCAAGTTTTGAGGCCAAGCAGCCAAGGTCATATGCAAATGACAGTTGTATTAAACTTTCATTTCGCTTTTCCTGAATGGTTTTAGCTGCATATTTTCATCTACATAGTATTTTATTAATGCTTTTAATGTGTAAAGTATGTACTGTAGTAAATTACAGTAGCTGGGTACTATTTTTCATTAGTTGGGCAGGTTTTTGTTGTTCAAGAACCGATTTCATGTTTTTGGGGTATAATTTGGGGTTTTCTTGTTGTTGGGGAACCAAGCCCTATTTTTTTTTCCATTTGTTCTGTTATTTGAGATACAAATATTCACCCAACGAATAGTTTTCCAGGATTCTAACCCATTCATTAAGTGCGGGATATCTGTACTGGGCATCCACTGGCTCGAGAATGTATCAGAACCTGCACCTGTGTTGGTTCAAGCCTGTTCTTCAACAAGTTCACGCTCAGTTCTGTCACAACATACTCTCTGTTACGTTATTCCAAGAGTTTACAAATAACATTAAAAAAAAGTTAACTATGACAATTTGCAGAACTTGAAGCGGTGACCTTTTGTAAAGTGAGCATCAGCTAGTTTTAAGTACAGTACTGTATTTTATAATTTGTATTTGGATCCAGACAAGTACAGTATTCTATTTGTCTGACATTCTGGGTTTATGGTCCCAATGGTATAGTGCACCAGTTGTACTGTAAGTAACTCATTATCTTAACAATTTCTCAAGTTGCTTTAATGAGCTATTTAAAAATAAGTACAGTACTGTACTTATATTCTGCATTATCTTTTAATTGTAACCTACTGTGTTTACAGAGGAAAATCTTTCTATTAATTTAGCAAAATTTATAATTTATCATTTAATTCACTTTCATATTTAATACAGGTTGTACCTCTCTAGTCCGGCATTCTGTGGTCCGGAAACTCCCGTGGTCCGGAACGATTTTAGTTTGTCCAATAAGAAGATAGGCAGTTTTTTTTTTTTATCTGAATTATTATTATTATTATTATTATTACAGGAGTATTAAATTTTTGCCCCTCAGGCCCCAATGTGGGTCAGTGACCTATGCCCGGGTGGGCTAATCCCCTTAAAAAAAAAAACCGCCGCGGGAAATTAAGGTTTGTTTACATCCGGCAGTTCGGCTGCTCTCTCTCTCTCTGCTTGTCTATACAGAGTACAACATTTAACCCTTCAATATATATGAGCAGTAAATAAGTGTTGCTTTCATATTCTTATGTAGAGTAATGACGATATATTTTCACATGTGCGCACTTACATACGAGCAGTCTCACTTTTTTTTTACCATTAATGGTTAGCTACTTATATTGTTCCATTTATTAACATTAAATAACATTACAGGTACTTCAAGCAACCATATTCATTTTTTACATTAATTTTACTACAGCTAAACTCAGGGTCTTATTTTCTTCAGTTTTATATGTAGAACCAATCAGTCACTGGTTTCGTAAGCTTTAACATAAACAATGCCGGCAGCCGTCTCGTCTCCTCTAATATTCCACGTATTATTAATAAATTGTATTGTTAATTTTGCACACACGTACATTAATTCAATAAAAACAAATTCAGAAACATTAATTAAAATATATATGAACAGTAAATAAGTGTTGCTTTCATATTCTTATGTAAAGTAATGACGATATGTTTTCACGTGTGCGCATGCGCACTTACATATGCGATCTCTCTTTTTCTTTACCATTATCGTTAGCTACTTCTATTGTTCCATTTATTAACATTAAATAACATTACTTAAAACAACCATATTAATTTTACTACAGCTACAACCAAGGTCTTATTTTCTTCAGTTTTATATGTAGAACCAGTCAGTCACTGGTTTTGTAATCAACGAAAACAATGCTGTGTCATTTCCTCGTGTGTTTTAATATTCTACGTATTATTAATGAATTGTATTGCTCATTTTGCACACATAAACATTAATTCAATAAAAAAGACATTCAGTAATGAACAATAATGAATCTTTTGTACATAAGAGAAATGACGCTGTTTACACGATTATGCACGTCGTCTGCACGTTGGCGGGCGTTCAAACCCGTCGAAATTCAAGTTTCCGCCGTCAAAATTTTTATTTATTTATTTTTTGTGTTCCAATAAAATACGTTAAGAATTAAAAACTCGCGAAATTTGAGAAGCTACTATACGACATTTAACCCTTCAATATGTCTTCAAAGAGACCATGACGCAGAGAAAGTGGTGCTAGTGCTTCCAGGCATAAGCACAAGTCACTATCTATCCAGGAAAAGGGTGAATTTCCATGGTCCGGCACCGGTCAGGTCCCGAGGTTGCCGGACTAGAGAGGTACAACCTGTATTAATAAATCAATTATATTACTTTTATATTTAACATTTTGGAGGCTTAAGCCACCTTTACAGGTTTGAGTGGGAAAATATAGTAATACAGCACTACTGAACATACAATACAAATAAGAATATGATAGGATTACCGGTAAACACAACTACTTTTCATTTACCTTGAGAAGAATAATAAACTCAATATCCATCACAATAAGACAAGACACTTTAGCTATACAAATTAACATTTTATTAGTCTGAATGTTGCATCTTAGATGGGTATGGAATGGGATGTTCTAAATGACAGTTTTGACTCTACCTTTGAAACTATTGTAAACAAGCTGCTTCACAACCATTATCCAATTAAAGGGCTCTGTTGCAAGTACACTCGCTGCAAAAAGTATTTTGTGCGAGATAATACTGTACACAACGGACGAAGGATTTTGACAACCCTACTGAGACAACAGGAGACACAGCGTGTACACCTTTCCCTAATAAAAGCAGTCGCAAGGGTAAGACAATTTTCTCAATGATTTAATGCTAGAGATTCAAATTTCAATTTGCTCTCATCTTCCTGAAATCAAACAAAATATATGAACTCTGCATACTGTACAGACCAATACAAAAAACACATTTAAAGTCAACACATTGTATTATAGCATAAAATAAAAGCTACCATGTAATTTAAATATTCACACTAAATTTATAGCAATAAGAGTACAATAGTGGCATTTTGTTGTAGGTTGACAGTTGAACAGCAGTGCCAAACGAGCATGGCTGGGAGCTAAAGCAAGCGTTCAGATCTGTGGAGAATATAAAAACATTTTAAATATTGGGTATGTTCTTTGAACTTCAAATGCTGGTAAAAGATTTAAACAAACAGGTGGGATGATTATATTAAGAAGTAAAGTACTAAAGATATATTCCAAATACAGTAGAGTACTGTAAAGTCTACATTAACAATAATATCAATACATCTGTCTCATGATTACAAAGTAATTCTGGAATAGTAGTTTGCATTTAATTGTTTTTTGTTAATTTTATAGGTGTCAGACACCTAAAGATAACAGAGCCCCATTTAATTAGTAGAGTGTGCCACAGAGGTCTGTCATATCCCTATTACATTTCCCCCCGTGGTTATTTATGAATACATTACCATCCTTAAATCATCATCATCATTTTTAAAGTTTTTATATATTTTTTAACAACACACTTTGTTAGCCACCACTTGCTACAGCAATGTCCCCAAGAAACAGGAGGTTACAGTAAATCTCAAGTGATACTTATGTTGAAGGAGTGTGGCATCCAAGTACATACAGCACTTGCTTCTTGTCATATGGGTCACTGGTCTATGACCAGGGCAACCCCAGTTTGTCCAGCTGTAAATGGGTTCTAATCTTAACTTTACATCTGGGAATACAACTAAGGTATTAAAATGGTCATACCTGGTATGTAGTGTGGGACACACTGCTTCCTTATGATCTGAAGGCTTAGTATTTAGTAAACTATATCTGCACTGCCTTTAATGAGCTGTTGGCCTACGAGACCCACTGTAGCACTTTGTTATATCTAACATGTGACAATCCCAACCAATCAGTATTTTCTGACATTTACTGTATAGGCATCAACATGTGTGTGTGTGGAGACTGGAGAACCTGCTGGTGCAAAACATCTATACAGTATTCCACTTATCCAGTACTGAACAGGGGTACTTGTTAAATTATATGAAATTATCATAACTCGTATGTTTTACATGTACAATTCTCTTCAGTAACTCACTCACAATGTTATAGACCAGTGGTTCTCAACCTTGTTTGCCCCATGCACTCCTTTCACCATGTCAGAATGTCATTCCCCCCTCCTTTCCAAGATTGTCTGCCTCAAAAAGTGCATTCCAAATAATATGCATATAATACTGAAAATCCTTTATTTTTTCCATATTAGTATCAGTTTTCCCCCCCCCCCCTGAAAACCTGAGGGGGGGAAATTCCCCCCCGGTTGAGAACCCGTTATAGACATTTTCACAAGTAATGGAGGAAATACAGGGAGAATATGAGTGTGGAGTCAGGGAGAGTGAGTGACCCATGCAAGGTGTTAAAATGCTAATGTTACAATGGAGACCTTGAGACACCACTACACAAAACTTGAGAAAGTGGGTCCCATAGGCTTTGATGGCCCATTAGAGACAGTGAGATGACAACGCATGTACTGTACTACGTATATTAAGCATTTAGTATACAAGTGGGCAGTGTGGCCAGCACTGCACTCAACTACCTTCACTTCCTAACTGTAAAGTTCAAAATACAAATACAGCTGGTTAGTTCCTGGAATACTCCAGGAACTACCTAACAAGTGATTTTAAGGACAGCAGGCAAGTGCTGTATTGCCCCAGTTGCACCACTCCTACAGAAAGCATATATTGTACTAAGATATTAATCTGAAAAACAAATATAGGCAGTTCTCAATACATGTGCTCCCCTATACAGCTCAGTACGAGGCACCGAGTGTGACAAGGAGCCAAGCGCCACCCCCCCCACCCCCAATTATTTTTTTTAATTACTAGTTATGGTATTACATTATCTGGATTCCCAAAACCTTCCTATCTGCAGAAAAAACTATCCTGGTAGTGCAATGTTTGTAAGGCTGAGAGCCATACTAGAGAAGGTAGGTAAAAGCGCCTCTACAGCACCAGATCTGCGCCTTGAGGCGGAGTGTCCTCCAGGGGGGGAGACAAGCGCCCGCAGCCCTCATAGCGACTCATTATTTTTCCGGTTTCTTACCTAACAGAAGTCCATGCTTCTACAAAAATGTCATAGGAATTCTATGTAATAATACTTGAACCTCTTTTTTATTTTCCAACTGGCAAAAAGGAAGGAGTGAGTGCCACAGAGAAAAATAAACAAAACAGAGGGAAAGGAGGGCAAGGAGGGTGGGAGTGGGGGAGTGGCATCTGACAGCCTGTCCAAGTGACGAGTCTTATGACACCAAAGGGGGAAAACAGGGAGGAGAAGGAGGAGGCGGCGGCAGCTGGGAGCGAGGGTAGGTGGTAATACTGTTAATACAAGTCATTGTTTACTGTAATTTTTCTAATAATTACTAAGACTTAAATACCAGCATTTTTTTTATTATACTTTTTGGCACTTGACCCCCGGTCGAAATATTGGTAATACCTTGTATTGTTTGCTTTTATGCAAACAGTATAATGACCTTTGACTTTCTGGTATTGTCATAAAACATTATTGCTTCCATGTAATGAAAATTATACCTCAACAATGCATATTAACGAAACTGCAAACACTACCCATCAAAACAATGCAATTTTTACCATAAACCATCTTTTCAATTAATATCACTTTAGTATCTGTGAAACCAGCTTTAAGAGCTCTACACACTGCTAGTTGAATTAACCAAATATCTTCATTGGTTCAAAAGTTGTATTTTTTTTACTTTTTTCCAAACTTTAAGAACGTTTTTCTCGATTGTGATTTTAGGCGCTTGGCTCCCTTGGTGCACTCGGTGCCTTATATATTCTCTGGTATCCATCCATGCAAATTTAAAAGTCATGCCAAAGCTTCTCTTTCTCACTCACAGGGTATTATCACTACTCCTTTATTCCTGTGACTACATCCATTATTGGCTTGTGAGTAAACAGGACAGGACAGGACAGGACAGGACTTGCTCATGTCTATATTGTACACATCCATCACTGTATCCTCATTTAATATTGTACATGTTTTTGTCTTCCATGATTAGTTTGTAAAGAACACTGAAAGAAACTCTCTTATAGTTTTTCAAGAGAGTAAATTTTGAAATAATATTTTAAAACTGTATTTTCATTTTAATAAAGTGCTCAAAACTAACAGCATTTAATGTTCAGGCATGTGTACGAATGTTGAACTCTGATTTAATGTGCCTGAAAACAAAATTCATCAGCAGAAATCCTGTCAGATGAGATCAAATTTTCTCTTAATTTTCCGGGAAATTACGGCTTTGGGAACGATTTTCCGAGAAAATTTCAACTCTGGCTATCGGAGAGTTCCAGGTTTAAGGGATTCTGGCTAATGGAGATATTACTGTATTTTCTGGAGATACAAAGCTTCCAATACAAGTGCAGTAATTAGATTCATCAACAGTAATAAATTAGAGGATGTTATACTGTAGTGGATTCCTCCCCTACAAACGCTTGTCGCTGAGTAGCCGACTCCGCGAATTCCCCAGTGTATGCCTCATGGTCTAGGTCAACCAGCGCCGCCTTACATGACGGAGGTCAACTATTAAGCCACGCCTACCTCCGCTATATAAGACCTGACCTCGTGGTGACCTGTCTCTTTCTACCTACAGCCAGTCTTCAAGTAACACCACCTCCTCCTCCTCCTGCCTGGCAGCCCTCGCTCCCGCCAGCGACCATGGCGACCCACAAGCTGGTCCTCTGAGCACCCTCACCAACCAGCTCTCTCTACTCAACGCTTGTAACCATGCTGCCTTCCCAGCACCAAGCTGCATTGTACATCCAATACAATATGTATACAGGGAGCACATTGTGAGTTTCCTTTCTCCATCCCATCCTGAGTGTGAACCAAACATCTCGTACCCCACAATACCAAATCTGTGGGTTGTATTAAAGATAATGGTGGGGGTGTTGGCGGTACTGTACAGTGGTAAAACGTGCCAAAAATTTCACCCGTCCAATAGTGATTGGAGGTTGGCAATGGAGTTGAATACTATTTGTTAAAATATCATCTCAGAGAAAATACAAATAAGGATTAATATTATTCTCAACAATTTGTTTACCTAAATTTTTTTAAGAACTTTAGTTACTGTTAATACCGCCTCCACCCTTCCAGTAACTCCAATGCCAGTTCTCACAGCCACTAGCACTATTTCTGGTGAGTTGAAGTCTTATATTACATTACAGTATACAAATAAATGTTTTTTTTTTTTTCATTTAACATGTGTTTGAAGAGATTTTTTTTCATCAGTATTATGTCTTTTGGTTGAAAAATATCCATAAGAACACATCTCCAATTAGCACTGAATACACTATAAGAACTTTTGAACGATAATGACAATGAACAGGAGGAACAATTTATTTATATTCACAGCCTGAGCCTACCACACTGAAGATGAGAGACAGTTTATGTTTCCACTATATCCAGAGTGAAACACACATTGTTTGATGGAAATAGCAGAACACTGTACTCATAACTAAAAACACACGATCACAACTACAGTAAGTCCTCGTATAACGTCGGCCCGCTTAACGTTGTTTTGGAACTATGTTGCCAATCTTTAGATACCAAAATTCGTTTAATGTCCCGATGACTCAATATAACGTCATTTTGCGTCGTCACGAACTACTTTTTACGGCATATCACCCTCTTTCGTCTGGCTGCACTACACTCTCTCGGCAGCCGCAGAGTCTCAGTGACTCACCACCCTCCTCCTCTCCCGCCCTCCTCCACTCCTGCCATCCGCCTCCTCTACTTCACTACCCACCACACACTCACTCTACCACCTCCACCCATCGGTGAGTACCAATACAAACTTAGAAGTTGTACATACAGTATATGCACTATTTTCTATAGAAATGACAATGATTTTCTGTATATGCAATGTATTTGATGAGGCAAAGGGAGGCTCAGGAACGTAACTCCCGTATTTTATCTATTTCTTATGGGGAAAATTGATCCGCTTAATGTTTTTTCGTATAACGACACATTATTTAGGAACGTAACCCTGACGTTAACCGAGGATTTACTGTACAACCATTCCCAGAGCTTTAACAGATACAGGATCATACCACAGCTACAATCATGATCATAAGCACATCCACAACAACACCCACAAAAACTCTTAAGTAATAAACATACCCTCAACAATATCCCCAACTACAAACACATGATCACAATTATACTATGAGACACACAGCTACTAACACATGATAACAATCATATTCACAGCTCCAGCAATACCCACAAACAGGGCTTTAAAATTTTCCCTCCTTTATTGCAGTAGAGTTTCAGACCCAAAAATTTTCTTGCCACGGATCCATTGATATTTTTGCTATTAAAAAAAATCCAGGTAAAACTTGCAATCTACAGGTATAGTAGCAGGGTTTTATTTAATGTTTCTATAAACAGTCTATAGGATTTTTATCAATTTGGCCTAAAAGTTAATTTTAAGATTATTTTTGTGCATTATTTTTATAGTTTCACACACACACACACAGATTATTACCAACAAACAATTTATTCTTGTACAATCAAATATCTTTATCCTCAGTTTCCTTAAATAATGTTTGTGATATTTTGATGACAAAAAAATTTCATAGCAGCATACTGCCATGCTGGCAGACTTTCTCAAGCCTTGCCCTTAACCGCTAGGTTTCGAGTCACGTCATATGATGTCCATCTGTAGAGCTTGGGGTCACATCATATAATGTTTTGATCTCTCTGCGCTTGGGGTTAGGGCTAGAAATACATGGTGAAGTGAGTCAAGTCCAAGGGCGAGATTCCTACATCACAAAAGCTGAGAAGCTTCTGAGAAGAAACTGGGAGGCTGTGAGTGAGTGACAGATAAATAACCTACTGGGCAACATAATCTAGCCAGACCCACCCTTTATATTCAAATAGGCCTACGAGAGATCAAAACATCATATGTTGTGATCCGAAGCTCTGCAGATGCGCATCATATGACGTGACCTGAAGCCTAGGGGTCAATGAAAGCTTATGATAAATCATTAAAAGCACTAATACTAATATCAAGCCAAAGCAAGCAACCTTAACACAAAAATAAATAAATCCATAAGATATAAGATGATCATGGAAAGTGGAACTTACCATTGACCTTAGCAGTAAGAAGGTTACGTGGCCCTGCAATAAAACCAAAACAATTCTAAATAAAACACAGAAATAAAAGAATATAGAAGACCACTGACCAAAGAGTCTACTTCACACTAAGTTGTACAGTATAATTCTTGTAAAAAATGAAGGACTGATCTTGAAATCCTAATTTTTAGCAAATGCCATAACCAGATAGGTCTTATAATAGCACTTGCCTCATTTAGAGTGTCTAGATCAATGTCCACACCCTTATATGGCAGTAAAGCAAATTAGTTAAATTGTTTTTAGATAATTCACCTTGATCCTCCGTTACAGCCAACACCTCCAAATAGAGGAAATCAGATGCAAATATTGTCTGTGAGAGGCGGAATGCTAAGCAGAATCTGTCCAATCAACAATCATCAAGCCAAGGCAACAGTTCTTCAGTATGATTTCTGATCAACCAGTCACTTTGGAATTTTAATTCTGAGCCACCTGGCTAAAGGCTATGCAAGAAAATAGGTTTTCAGGATCAATCCTTCATTTCCAGCATAAGCCCAAAGGTGAGGCAGCTCATGTAATCAAAAGCCAGCTAGACTAGTACAGTACATGGTGATCCATAAGGTTCTCAAAATTAGACAGACAAGCACCCCTTGATATTGAAACCATTTTTCCTTTACAGGGGGAGGAGGGAGGGGGGGGTTGTACTCCTTGAAAAGCAAAAGTTGTAAAAACAAATACAGTATTGTACATACAATGTACAGATGTTGAACAGTGTACAGGTGTTGACCATCATATGATGGGGTTAGGGACTTTGAGAAGCCATCATAAGGTGATTGATTGTACTACAGTATATCAATATTAATTACTTAGGGGGAAAAGAGGTTCTGTTCCCGAAACAGAGAAGAGCCAGAGTTAGCACTCGGAGAGGTTATTTTTTAACTTGTAATTTTCGGTAGACAAATTTTTTTTTTTTTTTACTCTGCTACATGCACATACTGTACACTCATTTATACAGAATATGCAAAAAAATTATCATAAGGTGAAAACAAAGGGAATAAACATTTCTTACCTTGCATGGGAGCTAGCTGTGACTTATGTTATGGGTCTTTTTCAACACAATTTTGGGTAGAAACTGTATATGTAATATCTTCTTTTATTTTTACTTTGTTACATACACACAATCATTCATACAGAGTATGCATAAAAAAAAAAAAAAAATACCATGAGGTCAAAAACATAAATGGAATAAAAATTTCTTATGGGTGTAGGAGCTAGAACAGAGAGTCGGGGAAGGGATGGGGGAGGGGGGAGCGGCATTAAGGGTCTCATGTTCCGTGCGTCGTGACAATTGCCAAATGGCAACTCTTATTATTTTTATTTATTCCTCACATTTACTGGTTCAGTATATATTATTTTATTTACAAAGAATAGCTTCTTCCACACGCAAACCATCTTCTGGGTGATGCGACAGTTCAGCTGCTTAGCCTGGCAGTCACCAGGGATGGGTAGAGCCTCCCACGCATCACACATGGGTTGCACGTGTTACACCATTCTGAGATCGTGTCATCATATCTTGGAATATTTCGAGTTATTGCATATCACTTTTTCATAGCAGTGACAATGCAAGAAAAGCATTCGGGTAACTAGTGACCATCGTAAAACTGATCTTAGCCATCGCGCAATGGTAAATGGTGTTAATTTTTTAACATAGTAAAACTGATCAATCGTTCAATATATAAATCCATTGTATAATGGTCAATACCTGTATATGTTTTCACAGTACAGTCGGGTTGTTCCCAACTGTAACCAAAGTTCCTCCTTTTTACCTTTTTATGATGATTCCAAACCGTAAAATTTTCAAGCAATTATTAATAGACATTTAATAATTAAATACTGTACAGGTTTACTATGCAGTGATATCCCCGTTAGCCGGAAAAATTGGTGCAGAGCACTTCCGGGAATGAGAGATTTCCGGGTAACCAGACGACTTTCTCAAACCCGAAAAAATCCCCATCCCCGGAAATATTTCCGGTTACTGGAAAAACTTTCTGAGTGTCTAAACTATGCATCTTGCACAGACAAACACTAGCCCACATCCTCATAATGTTTCTGTGTGCTGGGGAGTTTTCCAAGAGTCTAGACTAAAAACCTGTATGATATGGTCGTGAATGAAGCTGTGTGTTACAGCAAAGACTGGTATTTTCCACTCCCTTGGAACTGTGGGGGATTAGTGGATCTCATGTAACTGACCTGACCTGACACAATGTCAGGTGGAGGTTAGGGTAGGGTATTGGTGGTCTCATATTACTGACCTGATACAATGTCAGGTCACCAACTGTTGGGTGGGGGATTAGTAGGTCTGAGGACCTGAAGATGTCTTGAATAAACATGAAAGCTAAAATACAGAATTTTTTATACTTACACTTATCACATTGTATCCCTTCAACATTACGTTACATAAGATTTTAAAAGGTGGAATGAGGAAGCTGAAAGCTGTGGGTGATTAGAGAGATGGAGTGGAAAGAAGTGATAACATGTACCACTGTTGCCAAGCACTAAGCTTTTCAACAGCTGATCTTTTAATTCACCACCACGTAGTTAACCATGCATAAATTTGCCATACAATTTGGGGGTGTTTGGGTGTGATGTTGTGGTATTAATTAATAAATAATCAATATTGCATCGTCAATGACAGTCATTTGAAGAATAGCAGCGTGCTACAATTGTCACTACTACTCATCAAACTACTGTACTGTCATTAACAATACAATTGTTTATTATTCATTAATTAATACCCCAACACCACATCATACATAAAATCTTTTGTGTGAGACACTGCAAGTTGGAGGGAGGCAAGAGGGGGAGGCAAGGTGATGGCAGGGAGGCAGGGGGGAGGCAAGGTGCTGGCAGGGAGGCAAGGTGCTGGCAGGGAGGCAGGGGGGAGGCAAGGTGCTGGCAGGGGAGGCAGGGGAGGCAAGGTGCTGGGGAGGCAGGGGGGCAAGGTGCTGGCAGGGGAGGCAGGGGGAGGCAAGGTGCTGGCAGGGAGGCAGGGAGGAGGCAAGGTGCTGGCAGGGAGGAGGCAGGGGAGGCAAGGTGCTGGCAGGGGAGGCAGGGGGGCAAGGTGCTGGCAGGGAGGCAGGGGAGGCAAGGTGCTGGCAGGGGAGGCAGGGGAGGCAAGGTGCTGGCAGGGAGGCAGGGGGAGGCAAGGTGCTGGCAGGGGAGGCAGGGGGAGGCAAGGTGCTGGCAGGGAGGCAGGGGAGGCAAGGTGCTGGCAGGGGAGGCAGGGGAGGCAAGGTGCTGGCAGGGGGAGGCAGGGGGGAGGCAAGGTGCTGGCAGGGAGGCAGGGGAGGAGGCAAGGTGCTGGCAGGGAGGCAGGGGAGACAAGGTGCTGACAGGGGAGGCAGGCAAGGTGCTGGCAGGGGAGGCAGGGGAGGCAAGGTGCTGGCAGGGAGGCAGGGGGAGGCAAGGTGCTGGCAGGGGAGGCAGGGGAGGCAAGGTGCTGGCAGGGAGGCAGGGGAGGCAAGGTGCTGGGGGAGGCAGGGGAGGCAAGGTGCTGGCAGGGAGGCAAGGTGCTGGCAGGGGAGGCAGGGGAGGCAAGGTGCTGGCAGGGAGGCAGCAGGGAAGCAATACACACACCTCCAACACACACTCTCCAACATTTATTATTATATATTCTCGTGTGATCAGTCTCTTATGGTGTATGTTTTATCACGGTTAATATAAAATATTAAACACATTAGAAAAAATACGATGTACAATTATTAATTTGACATCAAAATTACATGACAAGCTGAACAATAAGGCAATTTTTTCACCCAGACCTCTCTACTGTAGGAAGGTAGATGGCGGGTAAGCTTAGCCATAGCCAAATTTACCAGTTTTGTATTTATCTATTTATTTTATTTTTTTTTTGAACGGAGATTAGCCCACCCAGGTACAAGTCACTGACCCACATCAGGCCTGGGGGGTAATAATAATAAAAATAATAATAATAATAATAATAATAATAATAATAATAATAATAATAATAATAATAATAATAATAATAATAATAATAATAATAATAATAAATTGAAAACTATATAATAAAATAATGATAAAAATAATAACACTAATAAAAATAATAATAAAGAACCATAAAGAAATACAAAAATGAAAAAAGATCAATACCTGTAGTGAGAAATTATATACTGTATGTACAGTATGTTGTGTTGTCAATAGTAAGAGAAACAACTGAGACCCTGCAATAATGTGTAAATGAGGCAGAAAATCAGATCAGCAACCTGGGACTTGGTCACAATTTTCGTGATGCCATATGGCAGCAGGGTCTACCATTAGACAACACATTATGCTTCCAATATCTTCCCAGGAGGTAGTACCTCCCTGTTTGATAGCTGCCTAATACCTACTGACCTATGGTCACACAAGAGGAGATGGGACGCCATTGTTTGTTTGTGTTTACATCCGGGAGTCCGGGACGATAGTCTACACGAGAAAATGAAGAAAATAAGACCCTGGTTGTAGCTGTAATAAAATTAATGTAAAAAATTAATATATATGTTTTAAGTAACGTTATTTAATGTTAATAAATGGAACAATAGAAGTAGCTAACCACTAATGGCAAAGCAAAAAAAAAAAAAAGATGGATTGGGAACGCCAACATATACGTGCGCATTTAAGGATACCGCATCATTTATCTTTTTAAGAAATGTACAAAAGATTTATTATTGTTTATTACTGAATATGTATTTGATTGAATTAATCTTTATATCGAAATGAACAATCCAATTCATTAATAATACGTTGAATATTAAAACACACAAGAGGATAAGAGACGGGATTGTTTTCGTGAGTGACGATGGTTCTACATAAGAAACTTAAGAAAACAAGACCCTGGTTGAAGCTGTAGTGAACGTAATATAAAAAAATTTAATACCTGTATGTATGTTTTAAGTAATGTTATTTAATGTTAATAAATGGAACACTAGAAGTAGCTAACCACTAATGGTAAAGAAATAGGCGAGATGATTGGGAACGCCAACGTATGA